AGCTGACCATCTGTACGACAGTATCCTTCCACTGTCATGCCCTGACCTGGCCACTACTGCGTACAACGACTGTCAGCTGCCCTCGACTCTCTGGCACCCCTAACCACGCGTAACATCAGACCCCGGCCGCTTCAACCCTGGCAGAACGACCATATAAAATGTCTCAAAACGACACAGTCGCGCGCTGGAGCAAATATGGCGCAAAACCAGATCCCCTCGTGCATTCTCCCTCTACAAATCCGCCTTCCTCACCTACACCACCTCCCCTCCACGCCGCCAAGCAAGCCTATTTCGTAACCCTCATCAACACCCTCTCCACCTGTCCTCGCCAGCTCTTCTCCACTTTCAAATCCCTGCTCTCTCCCCCCCCCCCCACCTCCACTCAGTACCTCACTCACCGCCCACAAGATTGCCAATCATTTCCAAAACAAGATTGACGCAATCCGTAAGGACATTGTCAATTCACAATCTAACTCTCCACGTAGCCCCCCTCCCTCCATCACCCCCCAACTTTCCCCTCCTCTGACCTCATAACCGCACTGCCTCCCACCATACCCAACGCCCCGCACACTATCACCGCCCATCGCACCACGTTCCACTTCAGCCCAGCTACCACTGAGGAGGTCACTAAGGTCTTCACTGAAGCCCGCCTCGCCACTTGCCCCCCTGAACCCTATCCCCTCACAACTCCTCCAGTCACACCCCCCCCCCTCCTCCATCATTCACTCCCTCACCCATATCTTCAATCTATCCCTCTCTACTGGTACATTCCCCTCCCCCCTAAAGCACGCACACATCACCCCCATACTCTAAAAACCCTCCCTTGACCCCACTGACCTAAACAACCTTAGACCCATCTCCCTGCTACCATTCACTTCCAAGCTCCTTGAGCGCTTAGCCTACAATCGCCTAAGCACCCACCTCACTGATAACAACCTCCTTGATCCACTACAGTCTGGTTTCCGTCCCCTACACTCCACCAAAACCGCCCTACTTAAAATCACTAACGACCTGCTAACCGCCAAAGCTAATGGCCACTACTCAGTCCTCCTGCTCCTCGACCTCTCCGCAGCCTTCGACACAGTCGACCACCCCCTCCTCCTTACCAAACTGCACTCCTTTGGCATCAGGGACGCTGCTCTCTCCTGGTTCTCCTCCTACCTATCCCAACGCTCCTTCAGCGTCACCTATAACGCTGCCACCTCCCCCTCTCTGTTGGAGTCCCCCAAGGCTCTGTCCTCGGATCCCTCCTCTTCTCCATCTACACCTCCTCCCTTGGCAAACTGATACACTCCCACGGCTTCAACTATCACCTCTATGCCGACGACGACACACAAATTTACCTTTCCACCCCTCACCTCACCCCCTCTCTCTCTGTCCGCATCGCCCACCTCCTGAACGACCTATCAGACTGGATGTCGCTCCATTTCCCAGCCCCGCGCCCCCCCCCCCCATCACGACTAGCAATGCCACCATCAATCGCACCCCACACGCCAAAGTCCTGGGTGTCACCCTGGACTCAAACCTTTCCTTCCAACCTCATGTCCAATCACCATCAAAATCATGCAGGCTCCACCTCTGCAACATCTCCAAGATACGTACATTCCTCACCCCAGACACTACAAAACAACTCGTACACTCCCTCATCATCTCACGCCTGGACTACTGCAACTCCCTTCTCACTGGCCTACCCAAACACTCCAGTCTATCCTGAACTCAGCGGCTAGACTTATCCACCTCACCAACCGCTCCACATCTGCCACCCCCCTCTGCCAATCCCTTCACTGGCTCCCGATTGCCCAGCGCATCAAATTCAAATTACTAACTCTGACCTACAAAGCCATTCACAACGCCGCCCCAAAACTACCTAACTGACCTGATACCCAAATACCACCCTACCTGTGCCCTTCGCTCCTCACAGGACCTCCTACTCTCGAGCTCCCTGGTCTCCTCCTCCCACGCCCAACTCCAGGCCTTACCCCATCCTCTGGAACTCCCTACCCCAATCCATCAGACTGTCACCTACCCTCCTCACCTTCAGGTGCACCCTGAAAACCCATCTCTTCAGGGAAGCCTACCCCACCCTCACCTAATCAACCAATCTCCTCCACTCCTCCCACCATTCCATCCCCCAGAGCCACTTCCTCCTGTACCACTATCCCCTCCTTCCTAGATTGTAAGCGCGAAAGAGCAGGGCCCTCGAACCCCTCGTGTATTGTATTGTTACTGTATTGTCTCGTGTTCTGTCCCCCTCGCTATTGTACAGCGCTGAGCAAACCCTTTGGCGCTATATAAATACTGTATATAATAATAATCTGCTGATCGCTGGTGCTTTACAGGCTCTCAACAAAAAATAATGCATGCACATTTTTTTTACCTGCAAAAACATGTGCTTTTATTATTTTTTGGCAAAGCGTGAACTTATCCTTTAAAAGCAGTAGTAAAGCTTTGGGAGAAAAATAAAATAAATGGTCCCTTGGCAGGTTTAAGTCATAATATAATACTGTAGTATGCACTGCATGCTAGTACATTATGGTAGACTTACCTACAAACAGAGCTTTCCAGCGATGTGCGGTCAGGGCTCTTCCCAGTCTCCAGCACTTCCATTTTCACCCGGTCTTCCTACCAGTTTTCATGTTTTTGGCCGCATGATTGGTCAGGCCGAGGTGACGTTACCCTCGCATGCAGTCCCATCACTGCAATACACGGAGCGGCCCGTAAATGTGGTCTGAGCTGACATTTATGACAGAAGAGACCTCTAGGGTCTCTTCTGTTATAAAAAGCCTGCCTGCCAGCGGATTTTTAAATGAATGAATTTACTACTACTTTAAGCTTTGACAATAAAACATAGAAGCTGATTGGTTACTATGCACAGCTGCATTAGATTGTGTGTGAATCAGTTTTAGTAAATCTCCCGCAGTGTTCATCTTGCTCATGATCTCCCTCACTCAGCAGTGGACTGCCAGACATTGGCCACAAAATGATAGGTCAGAACTCCTTGCAAACATATGGCTTGCTCATTTAAGTCCTCATGCACACTGGACGTTTTTACAGCTGCTGTTTTTGGCTTTTGAGGTTTTTTTTTTTTCTACAGCTAGTAAACTCGACCCCCCATCGGAAAACACATATTTCCGATAGAGTTACCTATCCTATGTGTCCATGCACACAGACTGTAATCAACATTTTTTGGCAGGGACGTTTTTTGGCTGGAAAAAAACCCCCAGAACTAGTGGGATTCTAGAGGAGTTTTTTTATGCTGTGTAAAAAATGCTCTAAACACTGAAAAATGCAGCAAAGCGTTGTAACACAGCAGCAAACCAGCATTTTTTGGCCTTTTTTTGGTAAAAAAAGCAGCAAAATGCTAATACAAAAATGCTAAAACTGCACTAAAAAACTCACGTTTTTTAATGTGACTTTACACAGCTAACGTAACCAGCGTTATTAAAACACCCCCAATGTGCACGGAGCAGCCTAATTGCTGCTTTGTGAGCACAATACTTTAATTTAGCTCAATGATTTCTTCTTAAAACTTACTATTTAATCAATGAATGCTTTTTTGTTTACTTTGTTTTTGCAGCATGACGGAATGACCTCCCTGTGTCATTTAAAGCAAGAAGGCATAGCTGTCCCACATAGAATTCCTGAACCTTGCATTAATAGCACCGCATATAAATTATTGATTGACCGTTTAAGCTTTCATAGTTGTGAGCATAGCGTTGGCGTTGTAATCATTGATTTTTATACTGCTTTTATTTGCACTGTTGGTTTATTTTATAACAATATGTGAATTATAATAATAGTGATAGTTTAGGACCTGAAATAAAAATCCCCAGTAGAATACTACGTATTTGATAGGGTTTGAAACGCAAACCCCTTTCCCCCTGCTTTTTTAACAAACCCTGAAGTTTCAATATTGGGTTGACACTGGTCAAAGCATTAACTAGATTTTTTGCATATGTCCAGCCAGGTACATTTTAGAACACTAAATAAAAATGTGTGGCCTAAAAAGGAGATGGAATGTGTGGTCTAAATAGCAAAGCTTATTACATGCAGTGCCAGCTGCTGGCATCATTAAAACAACCCTTGGTGTCAATGATAGTATGACACTCCTTCAGGCTGGGCTTTTTTTCAGCTGGAAAACATGGCAGAACTCTGTTCTGCCACCCTTGTTCTCTCTGGTTTCTGTGTGCTAGTAGGTGCCCCGGATCCCGACACCGCAACTGCCTGCATTTTTTTTATTATCTGGGGATTCGGGAGGCAGCTTCTCTCTTAAAAAGGGGGAAGGGGGCTCCTCCTAGGTTCTGTGCCATAGTTCTGGAGCCTCCCAAAGCAGACTGGTCTGTGGTGAAAAAAAAAGGCCCACACTTAGCTGAGTGGTGTGCAGAGAGGCAGCTGAGGGAAGTTGAGGGTTTGGTACAAAGTTGAAAGCTAGGAAGGGGGGTTATGTGTGGGTGGAGGGGGGTGTGGGTGCAGAGGTGAGCTCTGAAGAGGTAATCCAAGAGGTGTGCAGAGGTAAACAAAGGTTACTTTGGGGGGGGGGGGGGGGGGGTACTTTAAATTTCAACTAAAACAGCAGCCAGCAGCACAAGGGTCGCTTCCCACTGAATGCAAGTACTGTTCCTTGTGCTGATCACTGTGTGATATGCACTCCTGTGCTCTGTGGGGTTGGTTTAATAAAACTGGAGAGTACACAATCTGATGCCGTTCTGCATAGAAACCAATCAGTTTCTAAGTTTGTTTTTTGTTTTTTTGCCAAAGCTTAACCACTAGCCTACAGGGCCCTTATACCCCCTTCCTGCCCAGGCCAATTTCCAGCTTTCAGCGCTGTCACACTTTGAGTGACAATTGCGTGGTTATGCAACACTGTACCCATATGAAATTTTTATCATTTTTTTTGTGACAGCTGTATTTTGGTGGTAATCACCTCTGGGATTTTTAATTTTTATTTTATTTTTTCTTAAACAAACCAAAAACCACTGAAAATTTTTTCTTAGTTTTTGTCATAAAATTTTGTAAATAAGTGATTTTTCTCCTTCACTGATGTGCACTAATGAGGCTGCAGTGATGGGCACTGATGAGGAGGTACTGGTAGGTGGCAGTGATGGGCATTGACAGGCATCACTGATGGGCACTGAAAGGCAGCACTGATACATGGCACTGATAGGTGGCACTGACTGGCACAAGGCACTGGACACTGACAGGTGGCACTGCTGGGGCTACATTGATCATCAGTGCTCTGATGATCAGTGTACATGTCCCCTCCGCGGAAAGCTGTGACAGCTCAAGGAGGAGAGAAATGCAGATAACTGGTATTTCCCTGTTTACATGTGATCAGCTGTGATTGGACACAGCTGATCACATGACCGAGCCGACATCTTTGGCTCTTTCTGTGATCGGTGATCCGCTGTGTCCGAGAGAGACAGCGCACCGCTGATTGCCGTGCTATGCGCTCCCTGAGCCGCGCATGCGCGGTGAGAATGGGAGGATGTCATACGACGTCCTCCCAGAACGAGAGAACCACCTTGCGTCCGTCATGTTACTATATGGTGGGCGGGAGGTGGTGAATTGGGAAAAAAAAAAAAAAGAAAAAAAAAAGCTGATTGGTTACTATGCACAGCTGTACCAGATTTTGCACTCTCCAGTTTTAGTAAATCAACCCGTTTGTTACATATTCCTGACCCTTGCACCTTGTGCAATATGTAGATCTGAGCCTTAACCACACCCATTATTTGGTGCCACTTTAATTCTTTCACCCTAAGGAAGGTGGGGTTGGAGAAGGTGAGCCGGCCAGGGAGGGGTAAGGGTGAGTTCTTACACCTATTCTTTGAGAAAAATGCCCTGCTTTCAGATAAAGTCTAATATGCACACAGTAAAAAGTTGTTTTTATGGTGGCACCAATGTCCTATAATGAACTTATCAGTGGCCAAACTAACAATACATGTAATAATCTGTAAAAAAAAAATATATATATTTTTCACACACACACACAACACACACACAAAGTGAACACTAGGCATCATTAAGATATATACAGCAGCTTTTCTACTGAGTTGGTGTCAAGATGAGCAAAACATTTTGAAAGTTTACCTATTAAATCTGAGTTTATAAATAGCATCAAAAGGGGTATATGAATAACATGATAACTCTCGTTATCCAGTCATCCCACACCTTATATTCTTTGATAAGAATCCAAGACATTTTATAATGGAGAAGCTGTGGAGAGAACAACTTGCTGTGATCGATGTGCTACAACGGTCAGTTTCAGTGGCAGAAGTTCAGTACTTACTTCACTATCAGGGGGTGTATGAATTGAAGAAGTTTCTGGAACAAAGCAACAGCTACAAGTGGGACAAACATCATAGTAGATTCAAGTAGATATTTTTGGAAGGAAAAAAAGAAGTATGCAGAATGTGTATTATTGGATAAAAAAATCATTATTTGCAGCGTGCAGTAAATGAGTGCATCAGGAGGGGTGGTGTCATAACGAGAAATCAAGTATCTGGCTGCTCGTCCCCAACATGAATATAGACAAGAATAACTCCCTATGGGACTTTAATGCAGCAAACAATCATCACACATATACTCCAAAGGAACTATTTTGATCATATACTTTACTACACAAAAGTATGTTAGTAAGTGTGGCAGGTCCTCCTTAGGGAACATTGGGCAAATGACAAAAATTCAACTCACCTTGGCTTGCCAAAGCTAAACAGCTAGGACTAAGGCCCCTTTTACAAGGGCATCATCCGCTCAGTCACATGTTTTCAAAGAAAAATGGATTCAGTTTTTACATCAGTTTTCAGTTCAGTTCACATCAGTTTTTGCATCTGTTCTTACTTAGTTATTGCAGAGACCAATCAGAGGCAACAAAAAGTATAAACAAAAGATGTCCTTGCCTAAAAAACTGACAAACAGAATGCATGTAAATGGATGGCATCTATTCACATCTGTTCCATTCCTTTTCTACTGATCTGGATGTACCTTTGTCTGTTTAAAAAAATGGACTAGAATGGATACGGATGTAAACAGATGGTAAATGAATGATCATCCATTCACAACTGTTCGTCCATAGAAATACATCCGTCAACATCTGGTTTTTGGAACGGATCAAATCCCTATTTATGTTCCGTTAACATAAACGGAACAGAACCCCTCGTTTTCTCCAGTATGCTGGCGTTGTTCTCGTGTAGACGGGGAGTTTTTTCATATTTTCTGGACCTGTCCTGTTATAATGTCCTTTTGGCAGGAGGTATTACATACAATTGAAGCAATAGTACATACAGTATTAGTGTTCCCCTTGACCCGAAATTCTGTTTTTTGGGGCTGATAAAATCACTGGCTCCTTCTGTAGCTCAGCGCACCTTATTAATAGTCCTAGTGTTTTATGCTCGCAGAACAATTACTCTACATTGTAAAAACCGGTCTCCCCCTACTGTGACCTACTGGAAAAAAACTTGTGAATTCTAATTTACCCCTTTGTCTACCTATTTTAACAGAGGATGCCCCCACAAATTTTATAAAATTTGGTCATGCTGGCTGGATGATGTCAGCTGAGGTGGGGAATTGATTGATCGATAGCCATCCAGGTGCTTTGTCTTTTCTGTTGTTAGCTGGGTTCCCTTCTTTATGTTATGGTCCTGTTAAATTGTCTATACATGATTAGGCCTTGACTATTATGTGTCGTCCTCCCCCCTTCCTGCCTTATTTTTGTTTTTCTCCCTTGGGTTGTTTTGTTCTGTTCTCTGTACATTTTGTTGGGCCTTGAGCCTACCCCTGCGTGGGCATCTGTTGTCTGTATGTAAACGATCTGCTTTTGCATTGGTAATGGATGTAGAAAGTGGGTGGAAAAACCGGATGAAAAACTGATCTGTTTTTTCTTTGAAAAAAAACATGAGTGAACTGATGTGCGCCAGCTTCTGTTTTATACGGTCTCAGAGAATGTCTCAAAGCACAGGACTGTAGAGTAAATAATTATAAGACCTGTATTCCCTATTGAAAAATTGGAGATCCAGCGGTGGTGTATATCAATGCTATTGTGGGCCAGTCTGGCACACATTGTTACTACTGAGGACATTTACTTTATTTGCTGAGCCGTAAGGCACCTGCTTTGTAAGAATTCTTATTGTGGCACTCAAGCCTTTGTCTGAAGGGTTAGGCCCTGGTGTTCAACCTTTGGCACTTACTGTACAGCCCTCCTGACCTCTAAAGACTGTCTTTGCTACTCAAGGTAGCAAAGGAAAAAAAAAATGATCTTTAGGTTGGCTTTTAAGTGTTTATTTCTTTCAAGCCATTTTCATTTTCCTGTACCGTCTATCACTTTTCTCTTTTTATGTTCAATTTTCCTCTCTGATCTTTTATCATGTATTTTGCTGAGAGAACTAAAAATGTACTCATGGCACATTTGATAAGAGGGCTATTGGGAACACAGATGTTAAGCACTGACTTGTAAAGAGGCTGTAATCTCTAGCAATCTTATGTAAAGTGTCTGAAGCATGTCCAGGCTCTGATCATGTCTGCACTCTCCAACCATGCCAGCTTACTATAACAATACATTCACTGCATATTATGTACGAACCTTTGGTGATGTCCTGATCCACACTTGATGACCCCTTTATCAAACTGACAACCACTGCTTTAAAAGTTCAGACCTTTCAAAGCAAGGTTAGAACAGCTTTGCAGAGCAAGACTAGATGAAATAAAAGCTACACAAGTTTAGGTAAGGAGTGCATAAATAGATGAAGTATATGACAAAAACAGACCTTCACCCACTTGACGTCAGGGCTATAAGCAAATGATGGCTACAGTGCAGTTGTCTAATTCTGAGAGAGCTTCATATGACGTCCTCCAGAATTGAGCCTGCCACGAGCTACCTTGGGGGGGGGGGGGGGGGTTGCCCGGCGAGCTCTGTGATAGCTGTGTCCTTTGGACACAGCTGATCCTGACATGGTAAGAGGGCCAATCACAGCACTCTTTGGCCACAGAATCAGCTTTGTCATCACAATATAAATACAGGTGCCGGTTATTGGTTGCGCTTTCCTCATGTTGTACAGCATGAGGAGAGAGAAGAGCCGCTAATCGGCAAGTTACATAGTTAGTCTGGCTGAAGAAAAAAAAAAAAAAAAAAAAAAAAAAAAAAAGACAAAAGTCCATCCAGTTCAACCATAGCAAAAAAAAAAAACCCCTGCAAAGCACGATACAATTTGCTCCTGCTGGGAAATAAATTCCTTCCTGACCCCCTAAGAGGCAATCAGATATTCCCTGGATCAACTTTAGCTGACGTGTATTCCCACATCAGAGATCAGTGCAGCCCCCAACAGTGTTGCGAGTCAGTGCTGCAAATCAATGCAGACTCAGTAGTGAAAGAAAAATTACCTGTTTGCAAAATTTTAAGAAAAAAAGATAGATGACTTTTGATTGGTCAACACTATTACATGGATGCAGAGGTGTAAAGCACACCGCCACTGGACTCGAGGAGTGGAGCCGTGTTCTCTGGAGTGACCAATCACACTTCTCTGTCTGGCAATCTGATGGATGTGTCTGGGCTTGGCAGTTGCCAAGAGAATGGTATTTGCCTGACTGCATTGTGCCAAGCGTAAAGCTTGGAGGATGGGGATTATGTCATAGGGTTGTTTTTCAGGGGTTGGGATTGGCCCCTTCGTTCCAGTGAAGGTAACTCTTCAAGGATTCATGCTCATCCCTACCCCAATGGCACTAGATACACTAACATTAAACTGCCACGAAACTTCAGCTATTAGTATTGTAGCTGGACATTTCACCTTTAGCTTGGGCCAACCATCGTACAGGATACCTTCCAATATACACAATGTAATAATTGTACATATTGCTCCACCCATTACTGTACTAACTCTTTAATAGCCTACCCTTGGATAGAGTACCATAACTTGTTAGCACTCTTGGGCAAAAATATCTATTCAGTATGTAATCAGCAAACGAGGGAAGAGGCTTAAAAATGTCACTTCAGAGCAGTTACAAAATATGATATTACATCATGTCTGTCTGACAAGATCATTTACGTTTTTCTCCAAAGACAGCCTGTACTATAGTACATGAACACACAAAAAAGGATGCAGCATTTTATTCATTATTAAAGAGAAGTGTTTTTTGTTTTTTTAAATCAATCATACTCCCCTAGGGAGATGCAGCATCCATCCACTGCTGCATATGTATTTACCCCCCCCCCCCCCCCCCCCCCCCCCCGGGTCTAAGGGTGAGAACTGAGTGATCATACATGCTCCGGTCTCCTCGCCACTCTAAGTAGAGAGCAGTGACCGTCAGTCACCGCTGTCTGCTCTGCCCCACCGGCACTAACTGGAGCACTGGAGTGTAGAGGGG